GGCCGATATTTCTCACTCTGGGGAGCTGGACAGCCTCTGCTAATTCAGGGCTTGCTCCTCCATCATTTAAGTCAATGGGGGGGTTGCTACTGATGTCAGTGAGCCCCCGCGAAAGCCGTAAGAGACACATCTCGGAACAAAGTACCCGGGTGAATTCTTTAATCAGAGCGCGCACCACTGCAATCTGTACTGAGAAAGCAGCCCCCGAACTGCAGCTGGAACCACCGGCGTGGCAAGACAATTTGCTGGGAGTGGTTCTCGGCTAGTACAAACGGGAGTGATGTTGATATACACCAGGGGTGGGAAACCTGGTTTTGGCTGGGGGGGCCACTGACTCACAGAGAAATCAGTCGGGGCCATACACAAGTAAGAAGAAACCCCCCCCCCCCAAAACAAACCAAAAAAAGAAACAAAACAACAACAATCTCTCACTGACCGGGCTCCCCACAAGTTCGGGGCTTCCCCTGGCAGTACGATGAGCTGGTGCTCCATGGGGCCAGCTTGCCATGGGGCTGAAGTGCAAATGCTGACTCATCTCCGAGCCTTGGTCAGTCAGGGGCCAAATCCAGCCTGAGGCTGGTAGGTCCCCCCACCCCCAGGAATACACCATCTGGTGGTTGAAGTAGAGATGCAGTGCTGAACAGGGTGGTTAGGAAGCCAATTACCTTGCTAAGAATTTAGAGGGCCGACCCACTGTCGTCTGCCTACAGCCAGCTGCTCTTTCCTGCTTTATGCTCAGATTGGGAGCTCACTGGGGCAGGAACTGTCTCTCTGTTCTGTGTTTGTACGCTGCTAGGGTCCTGGTGCCTGGCTAGGCCATTGCGAATACAAATTAATAATAAATAATACAATAAAATACAACTGTTTTCATCAGGCTTAAACAGACACGAGCTGACCAGAGGATAAAGCTGGCCTGCTTTTACAGCAAACTCACTCTTACCTTCCATTGGCTTTTCTTCCTGGCTGGGCTCTTTATCTGACACTGGAAGGAAAGCAAAAGTTTAGCAGCGTCTCCTAGACAATCAGTCAATGTGCCTGCAAGCCATCTCCAGGAGCAGGCATGAGAACTTGCGCTAGAGAGATAAAGATGCAGCCAGATGCACTAGCTAGATAGGTGGAGTGCATTCCTCCTCAGCTGGGAAAAACAGCCCAGCGTATAGCCCGCTTTCCCCACACAACAGAAGAGCACTCAACAGAAGGGTTTGGGGACTGCCCCCTCTTGCTTCCATCAACTCAGTAAAAAAAGAAGTGACACAGGACACGCCTTCTGGTCCATCTTTCCGACAGTCTGTTAAGTCATTGCCTGGTGCTCGGAGAGCAAGGCGTTCACCTCCGCTCCAGTTCACATCCTTCTTTGCAGGTTCCCAGAGCAAAGGCCGTAAGGCTGTAGCAGGGAGGGGAGCTTCCTTTGGGGAAAATCAAACCTAGGACTAGGTTGAATCCAGGCAACAACCTTTTCTCCTTAGTCCCTCTGGATCACATGAAATGATTCTGCTTTTTTAATTCCAACAGGAACCCGCCAGGAAAGGCCCTTGCTAACTGTGCTTTGCATCCCACAGCTTCACCATCTTGTCTGGCCTTCTGCACAGCGCTCGTTACGCTTCCTTCCAGCTTCCGCCGATGGCCAGCACCATGTGCCGTGAAAACCAGGGCGCCTTCCCTCCCGGTGGCATGTCCTCCCCATCTAATGGAGCTGAGGGGATGGTTCCTTTAAAGCAGGGGTGGGGAACTTTTTGGGTCGGGAGCCGCTGACCCGCAGAAAAATCAGTTGAGGGCCGCACACAAGTGAGAAGAAAAACACCCCCGCCACCCGTACTGACATGCCGTGGACTGGGGAGGAGAAAGACACTCCCCACATCCTCCTCGCATGCCAGTGCCCGCGGGGCCCGGACTAGTAGATTTTGTGCCCTCTAGCTTCACAGTGGGGCAGCGGAGGGGCCTTGAGAGCCAGCGTGTCCCTGAGCTTTGGGGGACGGATCCAGGCAAGCCCCTGGGGCCTGAGGTTCCCCACCTGTGTTTTATATGGGGGAACCCTCTGTCCCTCTGATTCTGCTCCACCGGTTGCCTGTTTCATCATTATGGTTACTTATTATCAGTAATATCACAGCACCGACGTGCCCCATGCCACTCGGTGCCATACGAACGCTCTACACCAAACATGGCCCTCGGCTCAAAGAGCTTACGCCTGTTTTTAGAGGACGAGCCCACAGGGCAGGAACCGACCCTTCCTATGTGGGATCCCAACCTTGCCATTACTGTACTACACATGACAATGACGACAGTTAAATACGCCCCAGGGAAAAGACAAACAAGTATCTGACAGACTTTGCATCTGGATTGTCAAACATGGTTTCCACTGGGCCAAGTTAAGGAGGCTCTGGAGGAACAAGGCCACATGTTTAGGCCACGACTCTTAGTCGGCTCCTATTTCCATACTGGTGCTCCCGAATGAGTGACCCAGTTTCTAAAGCCGGGGATACAAATGTCCACCCCACGGAGGCGGCTGTCCACAGATAGGCATTGATATCTGCTGAGCCGCAGAGCTGTACTCCCAGGAGATGCTGTGGCCAAAGGAAGCAAGGCAGGTGAGGATGCTCCCAACCTTCTGGCTGTACTGCCCCTGGGGAACTGTACCACCCCAGACAGGAGACGCCGCTGGCGGCAGGGTTGGGAGCAGGACTGCTGCATGGCCACACTCATCTCCTCTGGCTGCATCATCTCCGGGGAGTGGAGCCCTGCGGATCAGAAGGTACCAATGTCTACCTGTGGCTATCCACATCTGTGGTAGACATCTGTACTGATTTCAGTAGCACTGACCACCCAGCGGTTCTGAGAGATGCTGGGGGCTGGATAATTTGGAAAGCTCAGAGCACTGACTGATGAATAAAATTGCAGAATCAGGACCTTTATTTTAGACTCGGGAAAACCTTGGCCTGAAATCTGCCCTCCGTTTCTTTCTGGAGTTGGTAGGATTTCCGAGTGCTCGAGTTCCAAGCAGTTTACTTTTTATTACCTGTGACTGTTTCTAGCATGTAGCTGGAATCATCTGAAGTCATGCGGCTGGTCGCTGGGTCATGCATGTCATCGGAGCTGGGGGATCGGTCTGTGAACAAAGCACCAAAGACAGTTCTGACAGCCCAGCTACCGACCCTGGAAGCAGACTTCAGAGCTTTACGGTCCATCCACAAGAATTCACGAAAAACTCAACAACCATTTGATACAGGGGTGCAGTTACCCAGTCACAAAGGCACATAGGACCTGAATTAGGACTAGTCACACATCCTCATAGGTATTCAGGCTTCTAATTACCATTGAGATGGGAGTTAAGCGCCTAAATGTCTCCGAGGGCTTCTGGGCGACTGTATCTAGAATGTTTTGATGGCAACTGAGCTATCTTTCTCCTATGCACTTTAACTGGTGTAAAACGGTATTAAAAATATATCTACAAAGCACCCCCCCACCTTCCCAGTCTGGAGAACATAAGAACAGACACACTGAGTCAGACCAACGGTCCATCCAGCCCAGTGTCCTATCTGCCGACAGTGGCCAGCGCCAGATGCCCCAGAGGGAGTGAAACGAACAGGTAATCCTCAAGTTGCTTAAATTGCAACAAGGGAGGTTTAGGTTGGACATTAGGAAAAACTTCCTACATGTCAGGGTGGTGAAACACAGCTCTCCACCATGTCCCCTTACGGCAGGAGAAAGGAAGCTCAAACCAGCCAGCTGGGAATCTTCACAGAGCTCCAAGTACATCCTGTCAGGGTGAGAGGCCTGAGCAGGCCAGGTTACTCGGGTTAGGGCAGGGAAACGGAGCCTCCTCTGTCCTGGGCTGCATCCAGAACTGGCCTCTTGGAGAGGCTGCCAGGCTTTATTTTATCAGACTTGCTGGGCCTGCCCTGACCTGAGCCTGTTCCCAGGTCTGACTGGTTTTGCTGCAGCCGATCATAGGGACCACTCTAGGCAATCCCTGGAGATCTGAAGTCCCTGCTCTTCCCTCCAGCGGGGCACCTTCCTAGGGTGGGTCACGCCGAGGGAGGGGGCAGCGAGCGTGCAGTCCACCCGGCCTGTGTGACTGAGAACAATTCTCGCCCGTTGTGTTTAATGCTGGGTGTGCGCGCGCGCATGTGCACTTCAGACATGGCAACATGGGCACTGATGGCCCACTCACAGCTTGGTAGCCTTAGAACTGGCTGCTTGGAGCTACTATTTATTCCCTTGTACGATGATAAGCCCTAGCCAGATGCAGCCTACAGAGAAGTCCTCCGGACTTACAGGGCATATCAGCGAAGGAGAGAAAGACCTGATAATAGAACACCAGCTTTTAATAGACTCATGATCCAACGACACCCGTAGGAGCCAGCACAAAGCGTTGCAGAAATACAGAGGCCACAATTTAAGGGGATCAGCCTGGAACAGCATTTTTTCCCCCCACACTGGTGCATCTGCAGCACTAGGGTTAATCTCCACAATAAACTGACAGATACTACTTGAAGCAGAGAGGGTGAGTGGTCCTCCTTCATCTCAATGGGCCCCAAGATGGTTGCAACCCAGATGATTTCCCAGGACAGGGTAGTTTTGCAAACAGCGTCACCTGCCTAGAATTTGCAGGGTGTGCGGGCTGAGCTGTAGCCGCACTGGGATTGGGCGCAGAGGGAGTGCACGGCTCCTACGGTCAACACGGTGAGCACTCTGCACGGGCCTTACGTGCCCTGGCTTCACGGGTGTGTCACGTTAGCAATCCCGGCAGACAAAACCCATCAGAATCTCTGGCAACCCTGGGCAGGAGCAACAGTAAAGAAAACGTCCCGTGGGCCAAACGTGAATCCCGGTGGGCTGCAGGTTGCCCACCACTGACTTACAGTGGGGTCACGTGAAACTCTCTTCCAGACCCACTGCGTCTCCTTCCCCAACAGGCTGCAACCGCTATTTCCAATCCGCTGCTTCGAAAGGCAAGGAGGCCTCTGGCTCTCTCAGCACTGGGGCAGAGGGAATCTGAAAATCTGGGTGCTACCCCGAGTCCTCCCAAGGATTTGTGACATGACCTGGGACAAGTAATTTAACTTCCTGGGTCAGCTCCCACCTCTATGGACAGGGACAGGGATACTGACAGGGGCTGGGAAGGAAAGCACCTACTACCCAAAAGCTTCTTGCTTATCACTGAAAGAGCAGGATGAGCAACCGGTCCCAGGTGAGCCAACAGACTCACTGGGTCTCTGGACAAGGGGGAGGGGGGCGTCTCCGCGCTCTGGGGAGGGGTGAGGCCTTGGGTGGGAGCTCTCGGCACTGCTCAGACCATGCCCCCCCAGTGCCGAGCAGAGCACGCCCTGTGGGCTCTGCAGTGCACACTACAAGGCTCCAGTGGCGATTTAAAGGACCTGGGGTTCCAGCCGACATGGCAGCTGCAGTAGCAGCAGAAGCGGCCAGGAGCCCCCTGCTAATTTGACTTGCTGGGCCCTAGGGCAGTTGCCTCCGCTCTGTTGGCAGGTCTGTCCACTCCGGGAGAGGCTGCTCCTCGCCTGCCTGGCCAGAGGTAGGACAGGGACAGTGCGAAAGGCACAAAATGAACAGACACAGAAGATGGGAAAACCCCAAACCACATGTGATCCCAAAGGGCTTCACAAGAAACCAGCTAACGTCTCACGTGCCGCTGGGACCCGGCTTTCAGACGAGAAAGACGTGGGGGCGAATTCATCTCAAGAGGAAGAGAAAAGAGGAGCCATCCCAATTCCCTGGCACTCTACGCACAGAGCAATCGAAGGCCAGTGTTCCCTGCCTAGACATTGCTGAGTCATTCCAAAGTTTTAAATTTTACCTGGGACAGTGATTTGAATGATGTCCAACTCATCTGGCTCTATTTTGATATGTCTGATCCCACTCAGTTCTGCTGATGTACCTTGCGGGGGGAAAAAAGTAATCAGAGGCATGAAACACAATAACTGGTCACTACTTATCAGGGGTGGGAAGGAAAAATCTTCATTGCGCATACGTTATATTCTTGGCAGTAACCTATTACTAATCATTCTTGGCACTTCACCCATAGGTCTCAAAGTACACTGCCCATCTCACCACCACTAACCCCATTGTACAGATAGGAAAGCTGAGGCAGAGAGCGGATAAAGCTTTGTCCATAGGTGAAAACTGCACCAGCTTAATTTAAATCACTTCCTAAACTGAGTTAGTTCCATGGTTCTACCCCTCTGTGGATGCTTTTCTTTCAGTTCAAGAGTGGCTTATTTCACTTTATCTGAAACCAATTCCTAATCCATTTACACCAAATGGAATAAACCCTGGTTTAAACCAGAAAAAGGGAGCGCTCATGGTCTTTTGCACCAGCTGAACTATTCTGGTTGAAAATTCTATTGGAAGCCAAACCAGAGCAACTTCTTCTGGCAGAGAAGGCCTCGGTAAAGACTGATGTATCAAAGCCCACCCAAAAGGCCAGAAGACACGTATTTCTACTTCTGTGTCTGCCAAATGGGGGAAATACTCACATAGCTGCTTCCTAGGGGTACTGCGACGACCAATTCACATCCCAAAGGGTATGTCTAGACTACATGGCTCTGTCGACGGAGCCATGTAAACTAGTTTACCCGACATAGTCAATGAAGCGGGGATTTAAAGAATCCCCACTTCATTAAAATAAACATGGCCGCCATGCTGTGACGACAATCAGCTGATCCGGCACAGCATGGCCATCTAGACGTGGATCGGTCGACAAGAGAAGCCTTTGTCGAATGCTCCCTTATGCCTCGTGAAACAAGGTTTACAGGAGCGGTCGATAAAGGCTTCCCTTGTCGACCAATCCGCATCCAGACTGCCGCGCTGTGCCGGATCAGCTGGTTGTGGGCACAGCGTGGCAGCCATTTTTATTTTAACGAAGTGGGGATTCTTTAAATCCCCGCTTCATTGACTATGTCGGGTAAACTAGTTTACATGTGCCATGTAGTCTAGACATACCCACAGGCTGCGTCTAGACTGGCAAGTTTTTCCACAAAATCATCTGATTTTGCAGAAAAACTTGCCAGCTGTCTACACTGGCCGCTTGAATTTCCGCAAGAACACTGACGATCTCATGTAAGATCATCAGTGTTCTTGCGGAAATACTGTGCTGCTCCCATTCGGGCAAAAGCCCTCTTGCACAAAGCATTTGCACAAGAGGGCCAGTGTAAACAGCACAGGACTGTTTTCCGCAAAAAAGCCCCGATCGCAAAAATGGTGATCGGGGCTTTTTTGTGCAAAAGCGCGTCTAGATTGGCCACGGACGCTTTTCCGCAAAAAGTGCTTTTGAGGAAAAGCGTCCTGCCAATCTAGACGCGATTTTTCCGAAAATGCTTTTAACGGAAAACTCTTCTGTTAAAAGCATTTTCGGAAAATCATGCCAGTGTAGACGTAGCCAAAGGGTTCAGAGA